CGTTGAGGAGGCCGTCGAATGACATCTCGTGCCAGACATAACTTCGAGTAGAATCCGGATGGGAAGCCATGAGTGGGTCGTCTTAGGGTAAGGGTGACATGGAGGAGATTGTGTGAGGAGGAGATGAGAGATTATGTGCAATCGTGGACCCAGCCGAAGAGGACAGTAGAAAATAGATTAAAGTGGAGATGTGTTGTTGAAGCCCTATGTACCACTCGGAACCCAAGGGAATAATAACATAACGTAGTGATACATCCACCTAGTCGCCATTGATAAGCTTAGTTGCAATAACTTTCTAACTAATTTCGGTTCGTGATGAAATCTCTATTGAAATCAATTAAAATCCTTACAAAATTGAAATATTTTGAATTTACGAAGTTAATATGAATCAATAGAAATAATTGCTGTCATTCGACTGTCCAAAAGAATTTTAGGTCAAACATTCATGTTTATCAGGAAATCTACTGACTAATTAACGATATTGATTGATTGATTATAAAACACAAAATAACTCCAACACTCATAACAACGGACAATTATGAATTTATTTTTCATAGGTATTTAGAACAGTGTGAAGTAATTGGCCATTGCACACACCTAGAAGTGAACTTTGACCTCCAATGAAGACTAGGTATATCTGTTCACGTATCATAATAATAAGGCTTTGTTTTATGAATAAAAATGAGCTTTAATTATGTTTACTAGTCATTCACTTTGAAATTAATTAGTCTGAATTTGGTAGTAAAAACATAGTTATCTTTTCTGTTTCTGATTATGAATGGACACAAGCCGAAAAAATCCATTTGCCAATGCTACATTAAGTAAAGTTACGTATTATGAAAGAGAGAAGGAAAGACTGAGAATCACGGAATATACACATTTGATCATAGGGAATAAAAAGACAGTTGCAGCGAAGATTTTCTTTTCGACGGAATCATCAACTAGGCTGTACATTCGTGTATTTATAATAAATGGTCCAGTGGGATCATAAATAATGTGACGAATAATTGTTTACGCAATCAGGGATTAAATATGTAGAAATAATAAAATAACAAAATAGACAGGAAGTTTGGATATGAAAATATGGTAGTGTTAATCGGGATTAAGAAAAACTTAAAATAACATGAATAAACAGGAAGTTTGGATAAGTCAATGGGATAGTCATAAACAGGTAATTCTTCTAATAGTGACTATCCCATTGACTTTCTTACCCAAGCTTCCTGTTTATTCATGTTATTTTAAGTTTTTCTTAATCCCTGTTTACACTACCATATCCGAACTTCCTGTCTGTTTTGTTATTTCTACATTTCTAACCCCTAATTGCACAATATGTCAATCTTCTCAGTAATTATGATGCTAGTTTGTCTAAGGTTTATTCGTCCTTCTGTTTATTATGGCATTTTAATTCCTAATTGTAATTTTATTAACCTGACCCTTGACTAGAAATTATTCTGGAACTTTCCTACCCATTTACTATAAATACACGAATGTACACCCTAGTTGGTGACTTCGTCAAAGAGTGAGAAGCTATTTCGCTCCGATCTGAGATACCCAATGATCTATTGATCCCATGAAAACAAGTTAATTAGTAGGTGTCTGATTTAGAATCAGAGAGTCTATATCAATCGTGTGTGAAGCTGCTTGTTGATTATTGTACTTTATAAATTCTAGTAGTTGAGAAACACCTTCATGTGTGTGTGTGTCGGTGGCACAGTGGTAGAATGCTCGCCAACCACACATGTAGTCCGGGGTTAGATCCTCGGTCGATGCACTCCTAAACCTCGCTAAGCCAGTTATAAGACTGGTAAAGAGGGAGGAGGGTTGGGCATGAGACTAGCAACTCCATCCCGTAAAAATAAACACAACTGCTACCAAAATTTCAAAGCTCTAGCTCGAAGCCCTATATTCCACTGGAAACGTAAAGAAATAAAAGAAAATGTTGATAAGTACCTTCATGATAATAAAATATAGTAGTGTGTTAAGTGACGTATGGCCGATTATTGAAGAAATAAGAAACAAATGCAGGTATATGGTGCTATTGTAGAGCCCCTATATTAAGCCTAACTGTACGACTATAAAACTAATTCATGTACGTATGTTATAAGCTTAAAGAAACTAATTTTTATATACGCTGTGGAATATTTGCGATTGTATTATTGAACATTACTTTTCGTTTGTAACACATATATTTTACACAGTTATGCAGATTTTGCGTTTGCCTGGCGATTTTCGAAATTTGATTTAGTTAAGAATACATCTTTTCACGTTTTCATTTGTACTTTTTAATACAACGTTGTTCGTCTTTAACCGTGTACAGCGTTAGCACACAGTAGAACGTAAAAACGTGGATTTACTATAGTATCAAAATAGGAATCATAATAAGTACACCATACTATCCCTGTAGTTTTGTTTCGCATACAAGACCTAAGTGTGTTTATTCAATTAACCCTACCTGGCCAACAGGATGGATGTCAAGAGATTCTTAGGCTAATTCGCATGGACTTGTTTGTGTAGGAACAGCATTGAGAGCTAGAGCAGAAGACCTGCTACTAGACTGGAATTCAGTGAATATTTATGTATGTGCCGTCTGGTTGAAAGAATCCATAAGAAGGAAAGATTATGACACCAGCCAATGTCACTTCATGATTTCCAATTTCACCCTAACCAGCTGTAGTTCAGGCGAAATAAAGAATGATTTCTGTCAAAGGCGAAATGCTCAGATATACTCATTCTTGTAGAGGACGCCAAGGTTAGCAAATGCCGATCGATTTCTATTACTTCATCCGAAATGACAGATCAGAAAAATGATTCTGATGGGTTCCGGATATGATGATGAAAGAAATCAAGTGATAGCTGAAAAAAATTTCCACAATGGCAGGCAACAAGAGCAGGAGGAAGAAAAGGCGTTAGCGGTAGGTAAAACCAAGCAGCTACTTAAACTGATCAGGGAAAGACTAAAAAAGCAAGTGCTAAATGAGACATTTTTCTTCGGATAGATGACTAGAACACTGGGGGGGCGATTCGACGGGCACAAAGACAGGTCCTCTAACAGTAGCTGAGGTTCTATAAGCTGTCTCTCGTCGATATCGAGGCGAAGCAGCGGGACCTGACAAAATGCGTAATTTTCTGAACGCCTTGAGCAGAAATCGTTGTACTCTTGGCCGACGACCCACCCTTGTCAAAGTAAGATGGTGGTTCAGGGCTGGTCTGAAGCGACTCTTAGTTTAGAGGGGGAATGGTTAGGCGTGTTTATCACTTCACCTACTTGGGAAGTTATATCGCCCTACTGATCTGAGTAATTCGTCAACTCTAACATTCAGTTAGAATCCAATCACTCGTGCGGTCCACACAATCTCCTTCAACTCCAACCTAGGTAATCAGATAATCTCCATAATTTTGACACTTGCAGTATGGCTGTTAAGTATCCGTAGAAGAGTACTGAATTGCAAGTACTATTTACTGTAAATTCGTTCATGATAGGACTTCAGAGAGTATAGTTGCATATTCTCAAACCACCAACCTGGTGTACAAATATGCAAGAAGTTAATTCTTACTCTCCAACACTGAAGTTTAGCAAGCAATACGTCGAGTGAAATTCGCGTAATCATTTCAGTATCGCTTTTGAAAAATCAATCAGAGTAGAAAAATATCCAAAGCGCTTTTAGTTTATGGTGTGAACCCACTATATGGACTTCATTGTTAACTGTGCAAGAGTGTCATCTTAGACAACACTATGATTCCTATTGACAGTCGTTAAGTGTGAACATTGAAATGGTACAATTATTTAAGTCACTTAAGATACATTCTAATAAAGGATACAATAGATTAAACTACAACAGATTACCAGTAAATGTAATATTCTCTTCAGAAATACTGACCTAGGGCTAATACGTAAATGTGCAACTACATTCAATATATTTCTAATGGATTCTAGAAATTATAGACTTTAGAATCAACCAAGTTTTTCATTTATTATATGAAATAAATTACACCAGAAAAACAAGCCATATCACGTAAACGAGAATAGAACCTTCAAACTGAAGACAGGTATGTTTCCTGACGACTAATCAGGGAACAACAAACAGTTGGCACCATATGGATTTAACGGATATCAGACAGAAATAGGGTTAGAACGTGGATTGTCATCAATGTAAAGTCACATCTGTAAACATTCGCATTCATTCGTTGTAGAGTCAGATAGGGGGATGCAGACTTCCGGGTTGGGGCCCTCGGGACTCTAGGAATCAATGGCTGGAGACAATAGGTGATATGGCTAAAAATCGTTTTCGATGGCGCAGATGTATTCACAGTCTCTGTAATCTTTAATATTCCTTTTTACCATTACCCATTCTGTTTCACTCTTATACTTGTCAAACCCTATTGATTCTCTTCACTCATCTTCTTGTCTACCTTTGTGTGCATTTTGGAACGTGGCAACTGGAACTGCTGCACATCGGTGCCAAGTTCTATGTTGAATCCAGACAGACAGAATAAGAACTAGACGTCTGTAACTGGACACGATGTACAGACTAATAAGGTTTTACACGTAACATCTTCCATCTTATTTATTTGTTCAAGCTCCAGGAAACCATGACTGTTTACCCCTTTACTAGGTGCCACCTTTTAATGGCACACTCACTTTACGTTGGAGCGATGTGATAACGTTGAGGTTAGGAGTTGATAGTAAGGTGAAGAGGATATTTCTACCGATGGGTATGTAAAGCTTCATTATCATTTGAAATGCCTAGGATTATGCATCACGCGTTTCTATCCAAAGACTTCCACCACGAGCAATTTTAGGTGAAGCAGGAGTAAGCTGGAAGATTAAGGGGTGGATGGAACAAATACGATGACATCACTTCATTAAGTCATTGACTGTTGATTTGAATCATGTATGTAATCCTATAAATACTCTTTTTGATATAGCTTAATATCGTTCATAGTGAACACAGACATATTAACTAATCTCGTACTTTACACAAAACAAAATTTAGTTGGTAAATAAATAGACAAACACTCTTTTTTCCCTTGAATGAAAACAAAAACCACCCACAAATATTCAGTTATTATAACAACAATATTAATATGTCATTAAATGCCCTTCACAAAAAACCAACAGACATTTAAATGATGAATTACAATAATTAGCAATAAACTAGACAAAATGGAAAGAAAACTATGAACTGAGAAGAAGAAAAAATAACAATAGCTAAAGTGGATTCGTTTACCATCACTAAGGACAAAGAAAACGATGACGAAATTACATCATACTGCAGTTATTACAAGAACACACTTCAAATGGGTAAGTGTATCTTCAATATAATTGGAAATAATACACAAGAAGATGTGATAAAAAATAGGCATTACAGTAGTTATTGAAAAAAAAAATTGACATTTTAAACCTTAGTAGAACAACAGATGTGTAGACGCATTCTGTTTGTTTGTTTTTCTTTTACTGAAAAAAGGTTAATATAATCACTATCTCTTTTTCAAGCGTAGTTTAACTTCGTCAAACATTTATTTTAAACAATGATTATATTAGAATTATGTTTATAGGATGGATAACAATGTATTATGGGAAAAAAGACGAAGAAAGGGCTAGTATGACGCCTTGGATACAGACGGGGGCATATAAAAAACACACACAAAATAAGATGTGCACGAAAAGGAAGAATACCACTTTTGCTTGTATGCTTTACAAGTCCACACTTATATTCACAAAAAAAAGAGAATGAATGAAAAGGTCGCTTTGGAAAAGCATCGTTGTCTATAGAATTTGGAAAGATTTGTATAATATATATTGGATTAGTTAATTAGTTAGTTGGTCGGATAGATTATTGATTATTGAGTCTTTTGTTTTCGACCACCACCAATAATCGGCAACTTTTCAACTTGTGTTTTTATCCTTTAAAAAGATATGAACAATAACTTAGTTGGTTGTAGGGAAAAGCGATACGTTCAACAGTTATAGAACAAAAATTTTAATAACTTGCTATCCGAATTGTATAAATATGAAGCAACTTAATCGTGCGTTTTCATACAAATAGAGATTTGACCTGATTACATTACAGTCAACAGAAAGAGTTAACGGGCCATAGGTAATGTTAGATGGTTGGAGGCAGTCGGCTACAGGAAGCCTTGGACCTAGGTTTCGTGCTAGTTGGCACTCATCAGCAAGGCGTATCTGCAACCTCGAAGGAACTCATGTCCCTTCTGAGGCCCGAACCCGCGTCACCCAGTGCTGAGGTCAGAGACGTTACCACTGAGCTATTCTGGCTCGCGATTGACCTCCTGAAGGGCCTTAGGTAACTTTAAAGCCGTAAAACACAACTGGATGTGTTGATAAGCACTTTACATAGACACAGGCTTTTCTTTGCTGTGAAGAACAATGTTTAGTTACGATTATTCCGTAGGTGCCAAAGAAAATTATCTGATGAAAGAATATAGTGCTGAGGAAATATCGTCCAAATCCCTTCAGAATATATATTACTTTAACAATATATATATATATATATATATATATATATATATATATATATATATTCCAAGCTTGTAACTATAACCACAACGGCTGGATTAAATCCACTGTTACATCACTTTAATTTAATCCCGTGGGAATAAATTCAATGTCTACCTCCAGCAGACAAATCACTCGGTGCTCTCTCACACTCTCGTGGATTAAGACAACAAAAATACAGAAGATGCTGAGGTACTTTTTCAGAATAAAAAAATGGTCAAACTAAGATATAACTTGAAGTCATTTAGATTGGTGGTGACTAGCAGTGACACATCCACGATGCGTATTCCTTCCTATTTAGGACTCGTTAGTTGGGTATGCCTGAAATCCCCAATGCGATTCGAATCCTGCATCCATCGTTTTAAACGCCAAAACATTATTAACTAGGCCATGAGAGGCATCTCTTGCACAAAAGGGATCAGTTATTATTTGTTTTTAAGGTAACAAAAACTGAGTATTTCGACCCGACATAATCAATCAACGGGAAATACAAAATTAGCCTAGAAAAATAAATAATAAGATATAGCCCTTAGGAAAAAATAACCACAATTTAGCCATACAGTATGTTTTCCACGATAAAATTAATTAGTTCAAAAGACACACATCTGGTATTAGAATCGGCACACTAATGGGACACCGATTTAAAATCAAAATTTTTTTTACGGAGAACAACAATTAGAAAATTAGTTGGGTGAAAACTTACTGTGATGATACGACAGCCAACTTTGATTTCGCCAGTTCCATCATTTTGTCGATCTCCGGCTAAGTGTTTAAAAATATATTGACATATTTATTTACCACCTAATAAATCCAAATATTTTGACAGCATATTGATAAGGTCAATAGTTAATAAAGTATGGACGAATGAAGTTAGATAGGGTGACCACCTTAGATATCCATATGCCACTTCTTCAGTAATAGCAAACCAAAATACGGTTTACAAAAATATGAGAAATTTGTGTACCGGACACTTTAAATAATAAGTCATATCGTCTACAGTTTTCTACCACTGGTCTATAACGCCTGAAAGGCTGATGTTAGGTAAATTACATTCTAAAATCATTCGAGTTAGTAGTCATGCATTCTGATTATATTTTAGCTATTTCTCCATCTAACCGTACTCAGATTAGATGGAGGTGTTCTGTGATTAAAACAGAAAAGACTATCGTAGAATGAACCAAACTTCCGATGGGCTACTGGACATACATAACCGGCGGAAAGAATGGTACATATCAGGTGTCTAGACTTAGTCATAAACTAGTGTATTAAGCAAGACTCCCTTTCCTACGTAAAATAAACATTCGTCAGCAGGCTTAATCAACTCACCTCCTTTTTCTCGCACTAAGAGTTAGTGTGTACAAGCTAATCTTCGTTTTACAAGATGATAGATACAAAAAATACCAGATATACCTAAGGTTTCAATTTTATCATCTTTGTCAGGCAAGAATATATTATTTGCGTACGCTAGACTGATCAGGCTCTTACTTGAATAGGAGACCAGATAAGTGGGGCACTCAGAGCTAACTATCTAATTATGTTTGCAGTGAAGTTTTCACCATTGAACGCCAGTTACAAAAAGTATAAGAAATAAAAAGAAACGAATAGGGTGGTGTGTTTTTCAAGGTGTATATCAATCTATTTAAATTGACCACGAATATGAGAGTACGGTTTTAGATTAAAATAGATATCGAGCTAACTTAAATTATGTCTGTAAAGACAAAACTTTTATTCTGAGGAATCGTGAACGACAACATTCATGCAGCTGCATAAATCAAGTATAGTAGTAATTTTAAAAAAGCATTATAACATGACAATTATAAATCTGACCTCGTATAATATAAAAGTAACTCTCACGTAGAAACTTACTTGGTAGCGTTCATAAAACTTTGGAACACAGAAGATACCGATAGTAACTAAAATGTGGAAGAAATACAAGGAACCCGATTATTAAGTGAACATTTGTCCACGAGGTAAAAAGAAACTGAAAAAACAGATTAGACGAGTAGGCTTTACTGATAATACTAATGCTCACTATAAAATTTATAACACATAATCTGACTAGGCGAAAGAGAGAACATTTACCACTAGTATGATGACATTCCCAACGGAGAATAATCCGCTAAAGTTCAGTACTCGAATAGTGGAATCTACTGTTCTTACACTCAAAGATCTACATTCTCTGTTAATAACTACTATTATAGAAGCACAAAAAATGACAATAAAAAAAACGCAGCTTCGTATACCGACTGTTTAAAGAGACTACTGTGTCCTGGACGGGAGTCTATACAAACGAATAATGAGGATTCCTAATTAGTGTATCAACACTTAATCTTGCATCAGTAAATCATACAACAATTAAAGGTCATTTATCGCTACTGTAATACATAATGCCATCAAAAATTGTAAATATTTTCCATGCATAAAAATGTCTAATTGCATGAAATGCATGACTTACACAGAACGCATAGTGTTAAGAAGTTGAACTGAGCGCCAATATATGTCAGTAGGTATAGAAGTACAGCGAACTGAAAGAAAATGGACAAATTAAACTTAATTAATTGGGTATTCATTAAATTAAAAAATGTATGTAAGCGGAAATACAATCCTCATTAGAGCAATAAAAGATAATCACAAAATTCTACTTCAAATGACTCAGACCATTACTACATTGTTACCAATTTACGGAGAATACATACAACTTTGATATCCAACAAACACAATATCTTCAGCGTGGCGTTAAGATTATTCAATAACATTCTAACGTATGAGGACATTTTACATCTAAGTACTGAAATAACAGATAACTTAAAAAGCAGAATATACCCATTAGATTACAGGAATAACAACTTGAATAATGCAATATTTCAAATCATAATACATATCATAAAATTCATTGTGAGGTACATCACCAAACATACTTTTATTGATGCACCAGGATCGGTCAACAAGAATATCTCTCTGGTACGTACAATTCCTTTATTCACAACTTCACTCAGACGTCGAGCAACATTAACTGCTTTTTCTTCTGGCACTGTAATCTCCCGCTCCAAGTATTCCCTATGTGTATGAAATATAATAATTCTGAATAAGTAATATTAACATAATTGTAACATAATATTAACATAATTGTGCGTCGGTGGCATAGCGGTTAGGACGCTCGCCGACCATGCACATGGTCCGGGGATCGATCCCCGGCCGGCGCACTCCTTTACCTCGATAGGCCAGAAATAATCCTGGTAAAGAGGAAAGGTTGGGCATGAGGCTAGCAACCTCATCCTGTAAAATAAACACTGCTACAGAAACTTCAAGCCACTAGCTTGAAGTCCTATGTTCCACAGGGGAACGTGAAGGAAAAAAAACAACTGTAATCATTTAGTTAACATCGGAAAAATATAAGAAAATGGAGGCACAGATTGTATCTAATATACAAATAAGTGAAGTTTTATACAGGCACATATTAAATAACAATGCTTTACTAATTCCCTTAACTAACTGACAGAAGTAAGTAAATTCGTAGTTGACAATAGGTGAGTGAATATAAGTAGACACACCAATATAACCCTTTATCTTTTAAAAGAATATCAAAGTTGGTAAGTATCACGAAACATTATTGAGAAGAAAAGGTATCCGTTAATCGAGTGATTAATAAGTTTGATAGTCATATCAAAACACCAGCAAACAGCTCATCCTAGTCTTAAGCATTATTTACACATAGAAGATTTTATACAAGCATATTTGGCGTCATAATACAAGACATATAATATGAGATTAGAACCAAAATATGTCCTGCCTAGTCCTCGCCTTCCTCGACGAGCAATGTTAGCGGATATAGGGCCACGTTGGAAAAGAGCTAGTGGCGGTCAAACCAAAACATGGCTTCACCAGTCAATGAAATCTACAACAGTTGGTCTAAGCCAGCCACTTAGGAAGGTGTAGACTGGCTGACTGATTGGTTGGGGTCCTCGGGACGGTAAAACCAATGGTTGGAAACAATTGGTGACATGGCTCAAAATCGTTCTCAATGGCTGGCGCAGATGCATCCACTCCTTGTGACTTAAGATTTCCAATGAAACTGGTTTGTTCTTCGTTATTACTATTCCTTTGTCTCACACCTCTGTTTACTGTCTCTATTATGCATTTCTTATACCTTCTTCTTTTGCTTTGTGTGCTACATGGAGGGAGTGTGGTGACTTGAAGTGCCGCATAAATGTGCAAAGTTCTATGTCGAAAACAGATAGACAGCACTGGTTAAGTGACAATTCATATTAGTCAGTGAATTACAATATTACTGATTTTGAAATCATCATATATAAAAATCTACTATTTACAAATAGCTTGGGGTTTAGGCTAAAACAAACCTGATGAAATTTTGTTCTGTTTTTGCGATAAATTGATAGTATAAACGCATCAGATTGACAGAAACAAGAAGCGCTAATCCAATATAGGCAACAAATGAGATAGCAGAAAGACACATGAAGCTGAACTCCACTGTCAATAAAACAGCCAGCACAGCGCCTGTTACGATTGGTTTTCGCCAATATATGATGGAGCGTACTGAAAGAGAGAGTTTTTCGATTAGACACTTTAACACTGGGTTGGTATCGTGAAATATCAATACTGAATATGATTTTTTTAAAAATCCAGTTCAGGACTGGTTTGTCTAGACTGCTAGTTTCAGTATGGAGTAAAATGATTGACTACTTCACTTATAATACAAGAAGCTGCGTCAACTTTAACGGGCTAATTGCTAAGAAAATTTCAACGCAGGTGCAAAGGCTCATTTTGCGTCACTTTTTGAGGCAAAAGTGAAAAACGATTACCTATTAGCTGACGTGTGCACTGTTTAGTAGCTCTTTCCATCCTACTTTACACCCATTAAATGTAACCACTGAAGATAGGTTTGAAAAAAAAAATTGCGTATTCGACCATGAATGCTCCCATTCAATTTCTCATATTAAGTGTAGCAATATGGTTACCAATAATGACATTAGATAAGGAAAATAAATTGACTACGATATATGTTACTCATGTCGACCAACTGCCTTCCTTGACAGACATTATTGGCTGAAATGGTATTTGTTTGGGAAAGAGTTTAGAGTGGTCAGACTAAGAAATGACAGCAATCAGTAGAGTCACTGGTTGTTAATAGGGTGGTATACAGGGCCTGGGTGAGGTCTAGGATGTTACGAATAAATGGAGTCATGGGTCAAAACATAAAAAATTGTGCAGGTGTATTTACTACTTGTAATCATCCAGATTCTAAAACTACCCTTTAATTTCCACCTAACTATTCTTATTTCCCACACATCTTCGTTATTACAATTCTTTTCTGTACTTTTATTTATGCTTATCTGAAGTGCCGCTGCCTGAAGTGATGCAAAGTTCAACATTGCCACGTCAGTCAGCCAGTTAGAACTCATAATAGTCGTGCTAGAATATGACAATACAAAGGGAAACTGAACTAATACAAAAGAGAAGTAGAAAAAACTTCGACATATAGTACAAAGAGAAAAAAATATATGATTGCACCCTCAAGTACTTCAAGAAAGAGTAATCGCATAGAATCTTTCTGTTACAGTGACCTATCTCACTTCGTGACATTGCCTCAAGTACCTTAAATAAAGTCCACACTGATACAGAAGATCGCTAAAACATGAGCTATTTTGACAATTATAGCTGTGTAGTCAACTTTTTTGATTAACCGGCATACCTTTGTACATTTGTGGCCTGCCTTATGCAGAGAGATAACGTCAACATGAGGCTCAGCATTTAGTGACACACGACATTTGTATACTAAGTGAAAGAGTATGAGAACAAGAAAGCGGAAACATCGCTTCCGACCCATATCACTTAAGATCTTCGACAGCAGCTTTCAGTAAGTACACAGACCTTATCCACGTATCTACGCTTTTTTAAGCAGTTACATCCTATATATATAATCAATGCAACTATAATTGATCAAGCTTGACTTATACAATTAATGTTTCGTCAGTTTTAAATAGGAGTTTACGCAAATTGGGTGTGAAAGACTGCCTAAGTCCGGTGGCTGAATGAGTGAATGCCACTGAACTTTGACAATGTACAAACCTGTAACATGTTAACATTTTCACAAGCAGTAAGTAAGGAATCCACAAAGAAAATCAGAAGCATGAAGATCCACAGACGTAGAGTCGTATGAAATTAATGAAGTCTTAGGGGAAGTTACTTGATAAGTATGTCAAACTCTCGTGGAAGGGGACACAGCTACGTTTAAAACCGGGTTGATAAGTAGGAAAGTTAAAATTCCTAAAGAATTAACGACAGTAAAATCAAACTTAAGGTACATGAAAAAGTTCCAGGCAGAATTCCGTAAATAATAGTCATACTTATACCCTTAACTGCTATTCAGATACAATAAGAGAATGTAATAGTGATTTTAATAAGACTATGACAATTCGCAAAACTCTGAAATGCATTTTGTATTTTTGGAGGTACTTTGAACTGAAACGGAACTCGCTGGTAAAATTAGCCATTTACTAATTCAAAAAAGCAGTACATTTCTGTGAGAACTTACGTTCCATAAGAACTAGAATCACATCAGATTAAATAAGCAGCTGGATGTCCTTATTGCAGCCAACAATGGATGAAGCATTGATCAAACATAAAGTACTTATATGATCTAAATTTTACGCGGATCATTAGTTTACTTGGTGGAATAATTTACTCAGTCACATGCAAAGAAGATAATTTTATTTGGTAAAATGATTTGACCGGAAGACAACTAATTGTGCCTTAAAGTTATATTGTGATTCTATTCAACACAGATATTTTGCTGTGTTGCTACAATTCGTTTTACTCTTTAAGATCTCCAAAAATGGTTTTTAATCGCCAATGGAATCTAAATTAAGCAAATTGTTTTCTTCTGAACATTGTATTGACTATAATGTTGTATAGTAGGAGTGAAAATTCGAGTATGTCAAACAGTGGTTCCACACTTGATATAAGAATAGAGCTTGAATAATGGCAGATATTTCCATAAAACAATAATTTTATTTGATAAAACGGACAACGATACGGTATTACTGATTTACTGTATTGAGGGCGATTTCTTGTTCATAATCATACCATCGGAAGATGAATAATACTATATCAGAGTGCCTTATCAACCAAAATTATTTTAATATGGGTTTCACACTTGATTGAGCAAGTGTACCTTAACGTGTGCATCCCTAATTAAGAAGGGGACCAAATATTCCATAAACATGTTAATCATTCGACTGAAATTTGCAGATAGCTTATATATTGAATACTTCTCTTAACAAACGAAAAATGCATCTATTAAGTGGTCACTGATAAAATATTTTAAATTAAGTAAAAATGGTTACAGAACTAAATATCAACTAACCTTTCTCAGCCATAGGGCAGTTTTTTGAACATGCCATTTGACCTGAAAGAATAAAACATTATTTTAAAAACTTTTGAAGTTATAATTTTTTCAGATAAAGAAGGAAAACTGTGTTGTAAGAAATAGACGCCGAAGTGACTTCACAAATACGAACACTATGAAGAAAAACATTACTCTGAGATAACGTCCTTATAGACCTAGTACATAACCGGGCGATTCCAAAAACACCAGACATGCAGACTTTCATGTACACCTGACTAGTTTACTAGTCCGTTTGCGTTTGCTTCTACATTTCGCAAACAAGCAACTTCTACAGGAATGTGGTTTTATTTATTTAGAACGCAACCTTAGAGCGAAATGAACATCGAGAGATCTGCCACGTTAAATAATTGAGCGATATAAGGAAAAAGGAACCGGACTAATTGAAGAATGGTAGAATGATATCAGGTCATGATGAAATCCTCCATCCAATCAAACAAAATCCCTACAAAACCAATACTTGGGAATGAAAACAGATGAGCATGTTTATCAAGAATATTTAAAAGCCTTTGTTACTTCATATTACTTCCAAAAATAGAAAAGTGGAAAGCAGTGTGCTTGCCATTAATTTAGATTCCAAGACATCCGATCCCTAAGCCATTGAACTGCATAATTACAAACAATGACTGCCAGCTAATTAAGTACAATCCACATAACTCGGACATTACTGTAAGTGCCAAATATCAAAGTCTTCAATCTCGCAACAGACCTACTACTACTTGATACTTTTGAATGGCTGACTGATATGTGCGAGTGAGGCAGAAGGGTAGCAGAGTTTCCAGTCTCTCCTAACCAGCATATCCGTGAATTTCCACAAACATTGTAATTAGTGAAATTTACATAACTTAATAAAACTTCTAAACGTGATTTCGGGTCTATATAATTCAGTGAAAAATGCAGTTATTAAAGCAGTAGGAAGCACTACTGGTTGACATGAGTGGTATCTGAATAATGAATTCAACCAATCAGTAGTATACGGCGCCAACAATTTTAGTTAACATTTCTGTACACTCTTCTCTCGATTAATACGCATTGATGCTCACGTGGATCATCGAGATGTAAGGTATTTCAGCAGTCCACTCACGAACGGTAAAGGCACGACAGTAAAATATCTACCAGTTTTTAAGCTTCTGAGGCCTTAAACAAAGCAACTGCGTGATCAATGTTACCTTTATTACTTTACATAAGATTTTGACAGGTAGACAAATAAGATTTTTAGTGACATGCATCTAGAATGTTTTTTCTAGAAAAATAAAATAGGTTTCAGAGGTTTGGGAAAGTACTATGCATATACTTCACAGTTTTTACGTCGTTTATTCTATGATAACTCTGTAACTGCCTATGACAAGAGGAAATCAACATGCCAAGGAAGCAGGATGAAGGACCCTTGTTTTAGAATTGGCATCTGTCGATTCAAGTGAATCCAATTAGGGACTTAAAAATAAATAAATTCCGCGAGATACCGTAGAATACGGCAAGAAAGCACAAGCTGGTATTAGGATCAAACATGTTTCACATTTGAGCTTATCAACCAAATAAACGAATTGAAATGGGCATTCAAGACTAGTATTCTAGACCAACTGACTCAGTGTTTTCCACATTTTTTATTTACTGAAGTGTATTGAAACGTTTTACCACAAGCGCGATCTTAGCACATTCATAAAAAGCAAATTGATTATAATAGTGATCCTATATGCACAGTACAACACAGGTAACCTAAGCCTTTTGAAAGCAACGACCACAAATGAATAACACAATTCTTTAGGTAAGCGTATGAGGTATAAGATCACTACATTTGGGCAAGTAATTTTACGTAGTCCAATTTGTGATGTAAAACGAAAGAATGATGTCAAAAACAAGAATAACGGGGAAGTAAGGGAAACATTTGATATGTTCATTTAAGAGAAATAAATGGATGTATATACTCGGAAAACTAAAGGTTTTAACATGAATGTGACAAGTGGAATTACTGCCACAAACTACCAGCTTTCTTCCGAATACACCGTGAGACATATTTGCAACGCAAGTCTCCAAGTCAGCAAGATTTAATGAATCAGATAAAGTAGGTGCTACAATAAAACGCCTCAGTCATTAGAAATAACTGATGAAAGATGTTAACTTACCAACAGCAGTTGAGACATCTGTTATGATCAATTTCATTAAAATACCCCATATATATACATATATATATAGTGAACCAGTTTTCGAAATGCAACTCAAATGGCTAAATTAACGTGCAATTTTTAACGTTAAACCAGTTTGGCTCCATACATGAAGGCATCAGACAAACCCAGTATTCAAACGACTGGTTTAACATTGAGTTGCGCTATGTAACACCAATTTATGGTTTATGAATACTTTGTAATCTAATGCAAACAGATTCACCTGCATTTTGTCGGTAACTACCTCAATATCACTTCCTTAAGCATGAACAAAGTTGTCGAAATCAAAGGCAGTAGAAGAGACGTTACACATCCAAGTATTATTGATATAAGTATAAAACTTGCGTACTGTGGTAGAGTTTAACTCTATTATAGATAAGATTTTATTTTGATAAATCACTGTTAAACAGTAATAATAACTGATGACGTTTCGAGCACAAACTATTGCTCATAATCATATCAAGTTATTCACACAACTTGGTACGACTATAAGCAATAGTTTGTGCTCGAAACGTCATCAGTTATTATTGAAAAAGCTAGCGGAGGTCCAACAAAAACTTGGCACCAGTCAATGAAATCCACAACAGTTGGTCTAAGCCACGTAGGAAGGTGTAGACTTCCAGGCTGGGGTCCTCGGGACGGTAAAAATCTATGGTTGGAAACAATTGGTGACATGGCTCAAAATCGTTCTCAGTGGCGCAGATGCATCCACTCCTTGTGACTTATGATCTCCAATGAAACTGTTTTGTTTTTCTTCATTACTCCTTTGTCTCACACCTCTGCTCACTGTTTCTATTATGCTTTTCTTGTACTTTCTCTTGCTTCGCGTGCTACACGGAGTGTGGCAACTTGAAATTCCGCACAAATGTGCAAAGTTCTATGTCGAAAACAGACAGACATCAGTTATTATTACTGTATAACACTGTGATTTATCTAGATAAAATCTTATCCATAATGGAGTCACTCATCCAACTTTGACGAGGCTTGTTCAGAGCCTCAGAGGCACTTCACACACTCGCATAAGTTGTGTAACCTCTAATACAGTAGGTACGAAGCGGGATCCACTGAATAACACACTATTCTAAGTGAATGTTTAACGAAAGGGAGTGGTATTCTCGACTGAAAGTAATTCTGAGCTGAATTCATCCATACTTATCAGCTCTCAGATACAACGAACGAGCAGATATTTCATGCTTTAAATGTTTTCTAAGAGCTAAAGTTTAATTCAGTTGGGGATCAAACGTACCAACAACAAACAAAAAGTCAAGTATTTTAAGTCGTTATGGCAGCCTAACAAGTTTTTTCTCGGAAAGTAAGTAACTCCTCCAAAAAAGTGACTAAATATCTGATGCGTGAATAGAATGAATAATGAAACCAAGACTAGATATGAGAACACGGTCAGAAAACAAAATGATTAGGCCAGCAGTTGTATATGGTTCCATCGTCTACCATTCTTAATCTTTCGACAGCAACTAAACTGAAATACAGACTACATTATTTCCAGGAGAAAGAATTTCGGCACTTTCAGGAGTTCCAAACGCAGATTGCACATTATTATAAATAAATAACAAGCTTGCCTGGGGTTAGATCTTTACCCGACATGGTGCTAAGACTTTTGGTATTCAAGTTTCGCCAAATTATTGTCCAAGGCTGATTACGTCCATTTGTTCAACGTCCAAGGAAAGTCTAGGTAAGTAAGATTAATATCAACTAACTGTACTCAAATTGAAAAACTCATTTATTCTCATTTTCAGTTAAAAATGCCTTTTACGACAGTAGCATCATTTCAACAAATCAGTCAGTTGCAACCAAGACTTCTAACTAAACGTTGGAATTTTATGTTGGTCCTCATAACCTAGAAAAAGACAAATATCATGACCACATCCTCGAAGCTTTTAAAACCATCTATGGCCGTGTTGCCATCAATCGTGAGTACATCAAGCCAAAGAGGCTAGCAAAACAGGAGGAATCTGCGAAAGTTAAATATGTAAGTTGATATATCGAAGAAGGCACTACATCAGTCAAAAATAAATAATGATAATAGTAAAACGAAGAATCTTTTGATAACAATAAGGATTCTATAGTGTATAATGAAAACAATACCAAAACTAAAATGGGACGTTAAATATTATGCGACCTGCGTATATTGGACGAAGTCAGCTGTTGATAAAAGCCTGCGGCCCGTTGGAAATACTATAACTGACGCGCCAAGTCTCCAAACCATATGGAAGCAATGACTCCACATCAGTATGGAGAATCCAGTTCATTCTCTTCGTTCTGACCGCGGCAACTTTTCACTCTTAATTCAGGGTATTGGCCTCCTGTCTTAGTATGTGAATCCGGTCTTTGACTTCCTGATCTGTGTTGTTTGCAGGTGAAACGATGTTGTCTAAATTGGCAGAAGAAGGGGATCCCTTTAAATTTCTGCCGATAGTGGCCAGTACTTGTTTTAGTTGGTCAGATTCCTCCGTCACTCTAGTCTTCCTTGACGTTCAACCAAAGTCCAGTCATCTCAGACAATATCCTCCACTAGTTTGTTGACTTAACCAGTACCTCTTCTACTCCCTGTAACATCAGATATAAATCATCCGTGAGATCTAAATCTCCTACACTCTTCTTGTTGATCCAACATATCCGTGTCCTCTGACTCGTTATTGCCTTCCGCACGATCCAGTCCACTCCAATAAGGGTATCATCGATGACAGTACGAGTGGCTTTATGGCATGTCCCTGCTAACTGTAGCGTCGCAATCCATTGCTATGTTGGTTGGATGAAAAGTTGGACTTTTAGGGTACTTTTTAAATGAAATTTCCGCGTTAAAAAATATTTCCAACTCACATAATATTGGTGGCATAATGTACTTGAACTACGTTAAATTTGCAGCACTTGTATCAGAAAATGTAGCTTAAAACTGATATCAGCGCATCGTAATAAGTTAAACATGGTAGTTAGTTCAAGATGTAAACGTGTATATTTGAATTTTCATGAAACTATTCCAGTATATTTGGCCTAACTAATGAAGTGTCATTGCCGTAATTGGCACGGTATTTATGGGAATTCATAGAGCAATTTCAAGAATAATTTCAATTTTCATTTACTTAGCATGGTCTACTTTTCAGCTTAAGACAAAAGCATCGGCGCTATGAGGACGATATGTATCACTACTGTGAACTTGCTTTTAAAGCAGCCTTTATTTCGGGGAAGGTTTTAATTTCTATAAAACTTTGATTTCATAAACATAATTTAGACTAATTCATGAAAGGTTGTTATCTTAGTTAGAATAAGGACAAATTGTTAAGAATGTGAGAAGCACTTTATTTTTAGTCCAATCGATATAAACACAAGAACTACTTCACATGATTCTCTGTATTAAGTTCACTACCGACGAACAAACGTTTTTCCACCTCACTGCCATACAAGCAAAGTTTTGGGATATCCCTATTGAAATATATTTAGCTTGGAGTCTGCAAAGTAAAACCAAAAGTGTATATATTTAACTAAGTCTTATGCGCTTCCTGTTCAGATTCAATATTCGTCACGTGATCATTCAACAATTGCTGAACGTTGCAATTAAGCTGAAATTACAACTCGCAATTCTACGAATTGATGCTATTTTCATTGGCAGCAGTTCTATCACTTCACTGAGAGACGATTAACTAGGTCTTCTGAAAATAGGTGCGTAACTTTGTGAATTTCATGAACTCTAAAGATATCATCCCATTCACTAGTATCGAAAAACAATTCTCATGTGAATTCACCCAAGAAGAGCAAAAAAACATCAAAATCACCTCAGCTGCATCTGCCTGGACCAATTTGAACAAACTAAGCAGCGTGGACACCAGCAGTGGAGCAGGTAGCACCACTTCAGAATAGGGATATGCCACATAATTGCCCTTGATAGCAGAGGGGATCAAAGAAGTTCATCCTTTCGTTTGAATATCAACCGTTTCTCTTTCATGGTCAGTTTGTTTTCCTTTTCTGCCTGGATCGGAATGTGGGCAACTAGGTTTACAAGGAATAAGAGCATGTCTTCGCCTTGTGGTTTGATTGTTTATCTTCTGACTACCTTCACGCCACCGTTAACTGACAAAAACCTGAACAACCTTAAGGGTTATATTATCCCTTCACTAGTCTGGGTGGTGTTAAGAAAAGCCTAGCCACCAAGTTATGTAGGTTAGACTGACGATTCAGCAGGTATCCGAGGATAGAGGACCTTATAGTTCTTGAGCGTTATTTCTAGTTAAAGCCAATAGGAAACTAGTTAGAGGTCGTTCATGAAGCCTGAATTACTGGTTTCCTGGGATGGTGAACGGTCATGTGTTCACTTCAAAGGCCTTACTGAGTATTCCGTATGTATAACTTGAAACGTGAGACTGTCACGTAGCCTTTGAATGATACTGGTAAAGGTTTGGAGTACTCAGTCGCATCGCAACAGTTTCCAAATTACTTCGTGATTAACTCTGCCTGCAGCCCTTTCAAAGTCGATGAAGTCGACAAAGAACTTCGACTGCTATTCTATGCTCTGTTCGACGATGATGCTTAAAGTTACAATCCGACGCGCACACGATTTGCTTCACCTGAATTCAGCTTGACACTCTAGGGATTCTGCATCCAGTGCATTTCTAGTCTCTTCAGAATGACATGACTTAATATTTTGCCTGGTGTGGATGAGAAAATGATTCCGTACCAATTCTTGAAGAAGCCTAAGTTTTACAGGGCAGCTTTCTTTCGATCAGTCCGTAGCTTTCCTGCCATCCAAACATTTGGCAATAGTGGCGTCAGCATGTCCGTTGCAGTGCTCCCGACGGAGTTCACTCTGGCCCTGCTGCTTTTCAGTCACCTAATAGTATACAAGAATTCTGCTTCTGTTGGGAGATTGGTATTAGCTGTCGAAGGCAATTCTGGACGAGTTATAGGGAGTGGTCAGCTCAAGAATCCTTTGAAAAGGCCAGCCTGTTGTTTTATTAATTGGTTCCATATGTGCTGATATCCTCCGCGATGGCGATCTGGTTGTCTCATTATTTATTCTGAAGTCTCTTTTGCCTGCGGCCTGTCCTGCTTCACTTTCCAGTGCATCGTGAAATTGTCTTCGTCTTTCTTCGCATCCCTCCTCATTTCTTCATTCAGCGCATTTTACATTGAAGTCAGCCTCCTCTGTCATCTATCTCTGAACTGCTTTACTTCCTGTCTCATCATCCCTGTCTCGTCTACTGGCTTCCACGCATTCATAGTAAGCCATCACTTGTTTTTCCCTCATTTTTTACTCCAGTTTCCCGGGTGATACTATATAGTGCATTTTGTAGTTTCGTGCTTCAGTTTATAAGAGTACTTTTAGGGCTGGTAATGCTGTGCAACTGTTAGATGTTCTCATTTCAGTAATAAGTTAGGTTTTAAACAAGATAAAGCATTCTGTTGGTATTGTATAAATTAGGCCGAAGTCTGGCTACATAATTTCAGACATAAAGTCCCCAGTATCATTCTAAGGAAATAAAAATTCTCTTTTCTGGATTACTAATTAATTTCATAATGATAAATGCAGATGAGTGTCATCATCTGAGAAGAATATGCAAATAAATTACCTGAGAATGATAAATGGCTTCACCTAGTTGACACTCGTTAGCATCCTTTGGTCCACCAAACACCATGATTGCCTTCTTTATGGCAAACTGTGGTTGTTCTTATCCCCTGTTATATTACTCTAATACAGTCATTTGCTTGCGGAAGTTACTGTTAATCCTGCTCAAATCGTGCATATTCATATGTGGAGTGCACCTGAAGTCTTTTTGATATCTGAATTGAATGATGGGGAAGTACATTGTAAAATGAAATAATTCCCCAGAATGATTAGCCCACAGCTACGCTCAGTCAAAACCGGGTACTGAACTTAACTGTTTAAGTTGGACGATCAAGATAGAGACCCACGAAAAATCATCCACATTATTTGTCCCACCATTCTATAATGTTCCATTGTTCGTGTATGCACCTTCCCAACTGATCAAACAACAGTGTCTCAAGTTTCGATCCCAAGACATATTTCATATTTTGTAGGACCAGATTGCTGTTCTCTTTCGTTTTCCGAAATTTTTCAGGTCAAATAGATTATGTACATACGGGTATTTTTCGACATCCCTGACCTTCCAAACTTGTTAGTCTGAAGTCTAGCTTTGACCATCTGTGAGCTTAGTCAATATCACACAGATGCATTTCACGTGTCTATGCCGTTTTTTGAATAAATAAGTGTTGGATCGTAAATGACTGTTTCCCCTAGCAAACCATGGAATGTTGTTTCTGCCCGCTTAATTTTATTTCCATGAACATAATTTAACTACACCACGTTACAAAATCCTCACATTTCTATGTGGAATGTTGTGGAAACCGAAAAAGTACATAGTAGTACAAATTTTCATGCTTGAGTGACGCGAAACCCACAAGATACACGGGCACCGAATGATGGGGGAAAAAACTTCGGATGGCCAAAGTTCCGACGAAGCATGATATACTGATTAGTTTGAGACTATTAAGGCTGCTAATGCACTTTCAATAATGGGTGAACGAACCGAATGAGCGACTTTACGTCGGGTATTTCTTCTTTAAGTTGTCACATTCAGTGCAAACTTATTGATG